TAGAGACGGGGTTTCACCATGTTGACCAGGATGGTCTCGATCTCTTGACCTCGTGATCCACCCGCCTCGGCCTCCCAAAGTGCTGGGATTACAGGCGTGAGCCACCGCGCCCGGCCCGGTTATGCAGTTGTCTTATTCCTTGGTAAGAACCTGTTCACAATTTTCAATCACTACTCCAGACAATCCCCCCACCCTCTTTTTTTCCCCAGAATTGCAGTGAGATATACAAAAGTTTCATTTAATCCTTTATTAATTCAGGGCTCTATATTTTTAGTAGGATTTAAAATACAATGTAAAAAGATCAACTGAGAACAGAAGATTAAAGTACCAAGATAAAGGGATAACACAAACTTACTAGAAAGTACTTGTTAAGCATACTGCAGTGTTCTAGTTTAGCCTGCTTTTGTTCATTTTTTTCTCTTAATGTACCTACATAAAATCCCAAATGCTATCTTCCAGGATGACACACTTGCTGTCTGTCCCATCCAGTTAAAAACAGATTTCTTAGTTATTCGGCAGTGTGCTACATTTACCTTTCTTGAAACAAAATTTCAAAGCTTCATTCCCAGGAAACGTTTTCCTGCTTTTACAGATACCCTTACATGGCTCTACTGAGAGATAAGGCAGATTTCGTCAGCCTGAAAAGTTAAAGCATGGAGGTAGAGGTGAGAGAGAAAGACCATAGGGAAAAGTTGAGTTTATAAGGTAGGTATATAACTTCATTTTAACAGACATCTACACAATGTTGGGCAAATAATCATATGGTGGAGAGGTAGTTAACATTTGGTCTTGGGGACTGAGAATAAGAGCAGGAAAGCAATACATACCTGATTATGAGAGTGATTCAATGTAATTATATTACCTATCAATCGCTACTTTTCCTTTCTTAGTAAAATTCACTTACAGTGAAATATGAAAGCAATGTGACATATTCAGGCTTCATTATGTGTATTTGTGCACATCACTTCCCACAATAAGGGAGAAGAAAAAAACCACTGCACATTGGGATAAAATATACTGGGAATACAGCAGTAAACAGAATAGTAAACATCTACATTTTAATTGGTGGATAAGTAAAAAAGGTGAACAAATACATTTATATTATTCAGGGAGCCATATGTGCATTGCTGTTAAGTAAAGCAGAACATGGAGTGGAGTGGGTTGACAGGTCTGATCAGTTAATACTTGAGCAGAGGGCTGAATACAGTAAGATAGTTGTAGGATATCTTGAGGCAGAGTATTCTCAGAAAAGAAAATGGCAAGTACAAAGGCCCCACGGCAGGAGCAGGTTTGGTGAAAGTGAGAAATATGCAAGCCGGTTAATCTGGCTGAAGTACACTGCAACGGAGAGATTTACAGATGAGATCAGAGAGGTGCTTGAGGGCCGGATCTTGTAGGCCGTTAAGGAGCTTCACAGGCCATTGCTGAGATTTTTGTCTTGTAAATGAGATGGAGTGCTCTTGAAGAATTTGACTGGAGAGGCAGGTAGTAGCAGTAGAGATGCTGAGTAGTAGTCGAGATATTTTAAATGAAATTGATTGAGTATAGGCTGACTGACAGAGAAATCAAGGATTTATTGTAGGTTTTTACACTGAGCACTTGAAAACAGCTGCTATTTGCTGAAATGAGTGAGGAGTAGTCGGAGGAAGAAAACCAAAAGTACTTGTTTTGAACAAAATGTTGAGACTCCTGGTAAGTATGGAAGTGTTAACTATCAAACAGGAAGTTGGAAATATGAGAATCTGGAGTTTAAGAAAGAGAAGAGGGTTAGGTTTATAAGCTGTCATATCAGTCTGATTCTTATTCTTTTGTTGATAGTCTACCCATTCTGTAAATATTTAGAATCACGATATCTGTGTGTGTGTGTGTGTGTGTGTGTGTGTGTGTATACAGGACTGCCTCAGCTTTGGTCTCAGTAGTTGACTAAAACCTATTCAACTTCAGTTTCAA